GCGGCTAATGCCGCTTAATAGTTTTTACATTTTTTGCCCCGGTCTTTGTTCGCTCACTTGGCCAGAGACCCAGAGACATGCTGACTTAACTGGTTTGCCCCCAATCCAGTCAGGATCCCCCTTCGCTACTTCCCTCCACCCATGTCCTGATGGCTTTCCTTGAAACTCCGACTACCGCTCAATGCTTTAAGACCCAGCGACCATGTTCAATAGCTGGAAAATGTAAATCCCATTGAGTTGGTCGTCGGTTCCTTTTTTGTACCTCCCGTTTTGGCCCTCTGCTTTTTCCATTTTGGCCAGACCGAGGGGGTTAAATGCTAAGGCTAATGCAACACAAAGGAGGGCGTGGTCAAATGTCTTCATCGGTTTGATTTTCAATTTGATTGCATTTAAGCGACATCCGGGCATAAGCCACCAGTCGTCGTCCTTTGTCGTCCTTATATTTATATGAGTGAATGCCGTAAAAATTTATCGCCGTCCAAAGTGCCTGGCCCTCGCTATTCTCGCCTCGTCCCGGATCGACGATTTATGCGATGATTGATGATTGCCGACATATCTTGAATGCAATTTACACGCTTATCACTCGACGTAACCATATATGAATAATAGTCTGAGCCGAGGAGGGATTAAGCAGTGCAGAACAGGTGGGTGGAGTGGATAGTTATTTATTCCGCATTCGAGCTGTCTGCCACATTGTCCAGGCTAATAAACATAAATTTGCAGCTTTTCCCTTCCATTTGTTATTGCCGCAACGAAAGCGACATTGTTGACAACCTCAGACAGCTGCACAGGGAATAAAAGATCCATTCGTTCTCGAAATCTGTAAGGGAAAGATAGTAATTCGGACAAACATTAGAGATACACAATACAAATATTAAATACATTTTTTCTATTTATATGTTAGGGTAATTTTACGATCTTATAATATTTTAAACCAATTTGTTTCTTATAATTTAAGTACTTGTACCATGTTTTTCTGTGTACAAAATAGCACAGGTAAAGCGGACGTCAAAGGGGACAGCCCTCCTTCTTGACAACAATCAATCAATATTTATGTCCTCGGGCTCGTTTGTAGGTGGCTGTCAAAACTTGCCTCAGTCTATATATAGCCGTGTATCTGATAGATACTTGGGACCCCCAAACCACCAGCTGTGATTGTTGGTGGCTGTTGTGGCACTCTAATGATAATGACAACGGCAATAATAGTCAGAACAACAAGGACGCCCAAGGACGACGGGAAACTGCCACCAACCTCCTGCCAATGCGGAGCGCCTTGTTCTGGAACTTTTGTCATTTACACTTTGCAGATTTATGTTTATCCGCTCGACGGGCCTTGGCATCTATCCCCCATCCCATCCCCTCGTCCTCTGGAAAATCCTTTGATTGATGTCCAGACTAAGCTAATTACGTGACTCAAAAAGTGCCCGGGCACCCGTAGACGAACTTAAGCTGAGGTATTCAAAAACTTTCATCTGCCAAGTGGCGCGATTAATTGATTATTTTCAAGGGTGCCAAACAAGCACTCAACTCGAGGGTATAATAACAATAATAGCAAAAATAATAGTCTGGAGGTGCTGTCATCATAATGTTTATAACATTTCTCTCATCTCTCGTCTGCGAGGCGTTGGCAGAGATTACGCATTAAATAAATCATCAGCCTACGAGGCGCGTTGATGTTCCTAACACTTCACTTTGGCCCGGAGAACTGGATACTGGATACTGGTTACTGGAGTTTGGAGACCGGAGAAACGGAGGCCCGGGGTCGAGATTTATTGTAAATAAGCATGATTATCATAGCATCACGTATACGCCATGTTGAGCGCGGCATACAGCAGACAAACAATTGAGATGCTGAAGGCAAGGCCAGCATTTCAAGTATAATTAGCTGTGGCCGAACAAAGATCAGAGCGGGGGCAATACTCTTTATTGCTATATAGTAGATGGGCCCTTTCTGTGCAGTACATCCTTCAGGTTTCCGACTGTCATAACCAAGTTTTTCTGTAATAGAACAATGTATTTTATTAAAATGAGATTTTGAATTTTAATTTCTAGCTCATTTGGGTAAGAAGAACTGTTTTACATAAAGCATTATGATCTCAATTGATTAAGAATTCTTTTGGATACGGAAATAATACCAAAAAATCCACAAAATCAAAGGTTTTTTTATTATTAGCTTAACGGGAAACATTGTTAAAAATACATTATGATATTTAAAATAGTACAAAGTCTTTTGATAACTTTACCAATTAAAATATATAGGATTTATAAATTTGTTCATAGGAGAAGAGCAAAAGTTTCAACCTTTAAACCTAAGAGGATTATAAAAATATTCCTTTAAAATGTATATTAGGTTTTCCAATTAATATAGGACCTTGTGTAAGATAGATAATATTTAAAATAACCATCTAAGGCTTAAAGCTTAACCTTTAGCTTTGTGGGAACACAAGATATTATTACAGACTTTTCGAAAGTGAAATCAAATAAGAGAGGGTTATGAACAAACATGAAATGCCTTTTAAGAGGATGTACTTTAGTTTTCCCCTCGTGGCTTTGCAGTATGCGGCACTGCGCTAAACCCAATATCACATTCAGACGCTGTCACAACTCGACTTGGCTTGAATCTGAATCTGAACCTGATTCTGAGCCGAGTCTGCTGTCTGGCTGTCTCCTTTCGCTTCGCGTAACCTCAATGTGTTGCCAGAGCCCATCAGAGTCAGCATCAGAGGCATCGTGTCCTTGGCATCCTGCGCCCTATTTCTGTGCGACCACCACCCACTAGCCAACCCACCGCCCTTTTGCCACTCCTTTAACCACCCGAAACGGCAGCTTTGGTCGCATTACTGCGGCGCTTAAAAGGTTAAAACGTTTTTGACTTTGAGCGTCGACGTCTGCAGCCAGCAAATCGTCTAATGAAAGCGACTTTCGCAAATGAAATAATTCCGCTGCCTTTTTTCGCGGCGGTTTGTGCTTTCCGTTTTCCATTTTTCATTTTCCATTTGTGTGTACGTGTGTGTGGCGGGGTTGTGCCATTTTAATTGAGCCAGTTTGTTTAATTAAACATTTAAATTTGAAAATTATAAAGTCAAATATTTCAAGCCGCTACGTTGGCGCTGAAATGGAATGTGGCAGCAAGGTGAGATTTGCTGTCTCGAGAGGCAGTTGGTTAAATTCAATTTGGCTTAAAGGTGAGGTTTCCTAAAAGCAGCTTAAAGCTATTTAAATCAAGGATTTTATGTGCTTATATTTTTTGGAATTTTTGTATAGGAAGACAGATGATTTTATATTAATCTGCTTAAAGGATGATTATCCCTAAAGCGTTTTAGGTATATTTATCTAAAGTATTTAAGGTGCTTAAATTTTTTTAATATTCCTTTAAGTCAAATTTTTTTACACAAAAATTATTCGATTATTTTTCATTGTTGGACATTCCTCAAATGTTGTCTAAAACCTCATCATACGCAAATTACGCGCTTTATAAGGCTCATTGCTGGCCGAATGACCTAGACAAGGGCCCAAACTGCTCGTTAGATGACCCCGGTGAACTTTGTGGCTGGAAAGAAAAGAACTGGGCAGCTGAAATGAAACTCCACTCAAACTTGACCCAGTCCGTGGTCGAGTTTCACATTTTTCCACTCGAATCTAGGCGGATTTACCTGTTGCCAGAGAGAGAAAAACCGACTTTAAGTCATTTACCATGAGTTTTCCTTTTCACTTTTCCTTTCCTCTATTTTTTATTTCTGGGAAAACGACATTCATAATTTTTATTTACTCTCCTTCTCTCATTTTCGCTCTGCCCTTGGTCCCCGGTTTTTCCTTTTTCCCTCTGCATTTTTATGCTCTCTCCCCGGCGACATGGCGCGTACCACATTTCGTATACTTAATGAGATTTTTCGCAGACATATTTGCAATTTGGTAGGACCAGCGTGTAAAAGTTGCGACCGCAAAATATTCCATCCCTCCACCAGAGTCTTCGGTTCAATTTGAAAGTTTCCCTTCAGTTAAACCCAGAAGCAACAAAAACTAATTACAATCTCAAGTTGTTTTTTCAACACTCGCTCGAACTTAAAGCTAAATGTTGTTGCTGGGGTTAAAAAAATACCATGAAAGTGGAACCCATATTAAAAAGTGCAGCAGTGCGGAGTCGCGGAGCCAGTTTAATTTTAGTTTTTCCAACTATTTTCCTTATTCCTATTGCTGTTTTGTTTCGTATTTTCCACTTGGCACTATCCACTTTCCACGCGAATTTATTCTTTTATTTTCCTCGCTGCAAATTGCACCTCTGTGATTATGGCCACTTGGCATCGTCTTCGCCGGCGCTTTGTTACTCCATTGGGCCATTTAAAAGGTGTTCTCGGCACGGTGGCCTCTAATGACATTCATTCCCCCAGCGAAATGCACTAGACAATGCTCATTAGAGGGGCCATCCCATCTTGTTGGGCACGAACCCAAGACAACTCCAGCCAATTCGCAATTGGCCGGCGAAAGAGCAGCTGCCGGGACTCCAGATTTCAGCATTCAGATTCCAGATGGATCCTCGGGCCCAAGACGGGGCGGAACATCCTTCAAAATTTGCAGCTAATCTCTGCCAGCAGGCCGGCGAACATCTCCCGCTGGGCCGGTCCAATTGGAAACTCCCTGTTGGAGGCCTTTGTGCAGTGGGTATACGTTTCTACACCAAGAAAAGCGTTTTCTTATATATTAGATACTAAAATCATGTAGTTTTATACATTTAAACTAGTTATATTTCATTAGAACAAGTTGAAAACTAAGAAAAATATAATATTTCTAATGAATATGATTACAAACTGTATCTATAACTTATTATGCATCAGATACATTTTTGAAACTCAACTTTATTTATAGAATATTTTTATTAAAAAGTATGCACATTTCTTCAGATACAGTTTTATACATAGAATCTTTCTATTAAAAAGTAAACACTTTTTTAACTAGTCCTTGAACTTTTGACTTAGAATAAATAAATTTTACATTTTTTAAAACAATAATGCCCAATAAATATGCATATCTATTTGTTACATTTTTTTTAAACTTTTTTGTTAAGAACATAAAATTTTTAGATATATTTTCTGTTATTTTTTATATAATGACCCATTAAAATAAGCATTTAAATTTCTGGTTGTGCATCTCCCACTCAAATTGTGTTGCGTCATTATTCAAAATGTCAATGTCATTTCATTTTCTTGTGCCTGTGCTGCCTCGCAGGCTCCTTCGTTTCCATTCCTTTCGTTGGTGACACTGCAGACTGGTTTTTTGGTGGCTGAAGTCTCAACTCACTGCACTGACAGCTGATGATTGTGGAGGATAATGGAGGGGTGTCCGCCCGAGATGCCCCGGCGTTTGTCACGCTTAACTGCTGCTGCTTTCGAGCCTTCTGACAGCCTTCCAGAGTTTAAAGTTTCATCGAGAACTGCGAACAATGGCGTCATTTTTCGGGCCAGCCTTAAATCATAAACCCAATATTAGCTTTCCGGACATTCCAGCCACTTGTGTCCCTTTCCGTATTTACTTACTATTTGCCAAGAGGTCCGCAATGGCCATCAATTTATTTAACAAATGACAAACGCTTTGCAAATCAAACAACAATAACTAATAGACAGTTTGTTTGCCGTTCGTATTTTTTGCTGTTGTTCCAGTTATTTAGTACAAATGGGCCTGGAGGGTCGCTTATCTTTGAGACCAGCCCCGAACAAAAGGAGGGCTTGTGGGATCGGGCCCATAATCAGACAGCCCCAGTAATGCACCATCGAAAATGTGCGATATATATAATAGAGTTTGTATAAAATACGTATGCATTATGGCTAATAACCGATTTGCGTGCCGAACGCACATAAGCCAAACGCGGAGGTCGGAGGTCGCATTTGGCCAACGGCATGCCTGCCTTTATCGCTCTTTGTGGGCTTTTGTTGGGGCACAATGCAATATATGATAAACGTTTATTAAGTTTTCGGTTAGGGAAGTTCTTTCAGCAAACTAGTTGCATTAGTGGATGGGCGATATAAGTTATGAATATTTAAATATGCGGCAAAAAGACTGAATGCTTAATTTTAACAATTGTTTTTCTAAGAAATGATACAGGAAAAAAAGTGCATGTTATATCACTGTTAAAAGTTATTTTGATATTCTAGGGCTAACTACAATATATAAAATATTCAAGAACTAAATTTTTTTAGCTTTATGTTGTTAATGAAAATGGTATAAAATTCCTGTAAATCTAAAAATTTTGTTTACAAAAATTTAAAATAAGATAGTAAAGTAACATTTTATATATCCTTTTAACAGGCCTACAAACTCACCAGAAAGTATTAGTCTTGTAATCTTTACTATCATCTTTAATAAACTATTTTAATTTTAGCTAAGACCAGAACCTTAAGCCATCTGTCTCTTTCGGACGATCAAAGCTCTGCTCCCAACTGATCAGGTAAGCTCAGCACAGACACGCACCACCCTGCGATCTGTTCCCACCTGTGCTGGCCAGATGGGAACAGCTTGCCCATAGAAGCCAGACCACTCCACTTACTATTTTGATCTTTTAGACGGCTCGTTTAGACGGCTTTATAAACGCGGCTTAAACAAGAGACGCCGCTGCCGACGTCGCCGTCGATATGGCCGATGCTATTTTCGAATTGGGCGATCTGTCAGCGCGGCGAAGTCGGTTTTGGGTGGGCTGATCAGTTGAATTCACGTCGTCGGCGAGTCGAGAAGCCAAACGCGGAAACGCCTCAGTGAATAAAGTGAATAGGCCGAGAACCTGAGCTGAGTGTTAAGAAACTTTAAGTGTGGTTTTTGCGCGCGGCGTTTTTTTATTTGTCTTGACATAAATCAGAGCAATTTGCAGATCGCCTTTTTTCTGCTAGCTGTTTTGTGAATGAGCCAACCTCAGCGGCGATTATTGTGCAGTGCAGCTTTCAAATCCATCTCAGTGTGGTAATTTTTCCGCTGGCTAATTGTGCAAGTAAAACAAAAATTCAAAACAACAACCACGCTTCGTCTAGTCGGCAATAGTGCCTGTGTGTGTATCTGTGTCGCAGTGTATCTGTGTCCGCTCAATCTTTGCTCAATCGCAATCTTTGGGCATTGCCAAAACAGGTTAACTAAAAGCAAACGTGTTCTTTACGTTTCTGTTGACTTTGCCAGCCGCAAAGCCAAAAAGTTAGTCAGCAGAAATACGAAATAAAAATAAATAAAAACTACGAGGAAAATCAATAGCACACAGTTCCTGTAAATTGGTGGAATAAAGCAGCTGCTGCAGTCGAAGAATCTCAAGGAGCCCAGGTAACAGGTAAGAGGTAACCGCAGGCCAATGGCCTCCTTCCCATTAAAATGCCAAGGGCTCGAACGAATTCTGCGGGGCAATCCCCACCCAAGCAGCTCAAGGATGCCCAGATAATGCAGGCTTCGCATTCCCCAAAGAAAAATAAGAAAAAACCAAAAGATACTGGGGAAAAAAGCAGCTCGTCAACGACCTGCTCCAATTCGATTTATGCAGTCCAAGGTCAACAGCAACGGCTTTAAAATGCAAACTCAGCCGAAGCTGAATCTCCAAATGAATGCGATGATGTTGCTTTTGCTGCTGCGTCTTTTGTCTCGCGTTTTTTGAACCTTTCAGCTCGACTCGACTTTTGTAAAACTTTGTCAAAGCGTCGAAGCGAATTAAAATGTGGGGAATGACTTTAAGTTTGCGGCGGAGATAAGCCATATTTAAACAAGATAAAGTTAAATGACAAAATTAAGTTAACTTTTAAAATTATGTTTGACTTGCAACTTATAAATATCTTAAAATGCCTCTTAGGATTAGCCATAAATATTTGCGAATATAATTTTAAAATAACATAACCTATGCAGATGGTTTTATTTCGTTTTAGATAAATACATCGCACAATTTAATTGGAATATTATTAAATCAAATTAGAAAATATTTAGTCCAATAGAATTTTTCTAATAGTATAATTTCTTATTAAAATTTATCATTCATAATTAATTTAATTTAAAATTCTTATAAAGAAATTAATGGATTTACTACATTTTATTTTTATTAATTGTTGGTCTAATATATTTCATTTAATATCTATAGATATTAAACATAAAGAAACATTTTCAAAATATATATATTTCAATCACCTAATGAAACAAATTGTTGTAAATTATTAACCTAGGGGCATACACAAATAAATTATAGTTTTTTAGAGTGTACTCATAAAAAACTTGACTAGTGTCTTCTTCAGAAAAGTTGTGCATATATGAAGGACAGCTCTTAAGCGAAAAGCCCCTTCCACTGGCTCTTTCACAGTCGTTTGTAATTATTTAATTTGCTGCCTCTAACCGGGTACTTAACCTTTCCAAAATTTACCACAAGCCGCAACAATGAAGTCGCCACAACAACAATAACCGAGGTGGCCGCGTTACTTGGCACAATTAAAACCGCAAAACTCGACTCGTTAGTTAACTTTGACCTGCTCAGCGGAAAAAGCATGAGAGGCATAAAGCAGAAAGGTCGAAATGCACCCACAAAGTTCAGTGATTAAATTTAAAGAGGAGGCCCTAAAAAGGAGGCATTAAATCCTGACTAATTCATATGCTAATGAAAAATTATGCAGTTAATGTTGGTCAAGGCGGCTGCTTAAATTAATTATTTCACATGAGTTGCACAAAAGTGGAAATCAAGTGACTCACTCAATAAACCATTACAAAGTATGGCCGTTTTTTGTCCAATTCCGCAGGGGAAGCCGTATAGTCGATGAGAAATATGTAGATCCGCGCACACAAAGTTCTTGAAGAACTCGCAAGTCAGAGTGAGTGACACAAACTCGCTTCTCGCATTTTATTAAAAATCAACTTTGTCCATAACAACTCAATAATCAATGACTGCCCAGTGGCTTTGTTAGAGCATGAGTAATAAAATTCGCATTCATCAGCTGCCAATTCGATCAGCGGAAATTAAATAAAACTTTTCCGCAGCTTTCGGGTCGCGTTTTTTCGGTAAATTGAAATAATTCTGCTTAAATTGCTAATTGTTTTGGCCAAAAATTCTAATTAGTGCATCCGTGTTCAATTTGAAGCACTCGTTAGCTGCCAATTGCCGACGGCAATAAATTGCATTTGCCATTTCGGCACTTGTTTGGGGCTTTTTAAAGTGCAATTAACGCCAAGCTGATGCACAATTATTTATTTATATATCGGGTGTTTTTGTTTTTACAATTTTTCACCCATTTTCCCCTTTTTTTCTCGCTTTGACAACACACTTTTATTGAGTTTGTCAAGGCGCAACGCCGTTTTGGCCATTTGTTACATTTGCATGCCATCCAGCGGATGCACATGTAATGGCAATTGATTTACAAGCTATGCGAACCGATATAAGCCGGGTAGCAAAAAATTATAGCCATTTGTAGTAGGTGTGTGTGCGTATATAATTATTCAATTAAACGACCGCACAGCGAGCCAAAGGTAACCGCCAATAAAAATATTCATCCAAATACAAATAAATACATTTTCCTTTTCATTTATGTGGCACTTTTTGTTCGATTTTCCGGCAAGAGACATGGAGCCACGAATGCAATCAAAGTCGTACTTTATGGAACTGGGGGAAAAAATTAAAAAGCGACAGCCAAAAGTCTGCGGCAAATTTAATTTATTTGTTTGATTTTATTCGCAAAAAGTGTCAGATATCTGAAAAACATCATAATAAATGAGCAGCGCGTGGGTAGCACAGAAATGCCCTATAAAAAAGGTTTATGTGAGTGCTAAAAAGTGTTATAATTGCTATTCAAATATTTAAAAAATAAATATATAAGAAACTCCCAGCATATGTTTATATAATATTAGATAAACTTGCGTATTCTGTTCGAGTAAACCCCAAAAAATATAGATTGCCCTACTTCGTCACTGTCTTGGCCCATTAATAAATATCAATAAAATCAATTTGCACATGGCCAAACCCACAAATCAGTCGAGTTTAATTATTGTAAATAGCATAGCATAAATAGCAAGGAAGTAAAATCAATTATGCAAATGGCCTTAACAAAGTTATGAAACATGTTGGCAAAAATAGACCTCGATGCGAAATCAATGGCTTCCTATTCACCGATAAACAGAGAGTAGATTTTCCAACTCATCGCTTTTTTATGCCGCCAAAAACGGTGATGGGAATATGCAAAGTTTCCTTTCTCGTCATATTTGCAACGTTTATCCGACTTCCTGACGGCCGAAAAACACTAACAGTAATAAGCCACTTGTAAGGCAGCAATAATGTAGATCTATGGACCAAGATAGACGCAGGGCCCTCTCCCCTTGACACATTTGCATAATCTGGGGCAAATCTTTGGTAACAAGTAATCGAAAATAAATTTGCATAACAAATGCCGGCTTAGAGGCCCCGTTGACAGTGGGAAAAGTGAGCAATAATCTGGGAGGCTCCTCAGTACAATAATCAATAAGTGCTGTACAGATGCAAGAAATATAAAAAATATGCGACGACTTTCTGCATTGGAGCGCACTGAAATTTAATCAGAATTTAAATTGAAATTCCCCCGAAAGCAAAACGAGACGAAAGGTCGTACATATATTTTTGCATGCTTATTTGTATATCAGCAAATAGAACAAACAGCGGCCTCCAGGCAGCCAAAAAAAAATGGAATAAAAAATAAAAGAAACAAAGACACCGCTCCGGTGCCGAGTAATTGCCAAATGTTTACGCACATATGTACGAGTAATATTTGCATATAAACAGGCATATGTAGCCGCTTTTCATTCCGACATTGCAACGCTTTTTTAGGGCTCCCCCATTTGCATTTCATTTCAAAGCTTGTTTTTTCAGATATTCCTGTTTTTTCTGTTTTTTGGGAGTACGGGGCGTTTGGAATCGGTCTCCTAGGGGCACGCGGAATATGAAGTGCCAAGCGATGGGCTGTGATTTCATTTGGCAAGCGGAATTCGGTGCTTTTTTAAGCGATGATGGAGTCGGAAAATGTGATGACATGATTTTCAAGGGTTTACATATCGCTGACATTGGGAGAACTCTTTATTGCAACACTTTAATTAATTTCCCTTTGTCCCTGGCTTGGGCTTAATTGAAAAACGTACTCTGCCATCCCGCCAGCAGGCGACTCCTTAAGTCACTGCCGACAGATTATTCCGGGTTAATGACTCTTTCAAGTGACACTTCAACGCTTCTCCCGGCTAAAAGCCGCTTAAAGTCTGGCCTTTTTGGTTAGTGGTTTTGGCCAGGCAAAAAGAGAAAAAATAGCAAGTAAAACAGAATTCAGTTTGCGATTACTCACCCAGCAAAGTTGACTAAACAACTAAGCTCGACTGTGGCTTGAAATTGGATCACAGCTCTGCCCTGCCATCTATTTTTCATTTTCCCCTTTCATTCCCCCCTTTTTTTTGCAGTGCACCCAGTGTTTGCTTTTGGCCCAAAAGCGCTCAACTGTTAAACTGAATAAAATGCAATGCCAGCGCATTTTTAATTGTTATTGCCATTGTTGCTGGCCGGCTGTTGACTAAATTTAGTTGGAAATACAGTTGAAAACTGTGTGGACCTTGAAAACGAGCGTGGAAATCTGTGCATAATTGTTTGGAAAATGTTTGCACAATTCACACATCAAACCGTAAACCGAAACCAAAGTCTGCAGCTCGCA